ATATGTGCGTCCATCCGTGAGTATGTGCATGCATTCATGTGTGTGTGTGTGTGTGTGTGTGTGTGCGCGCGTGCGCGCACACAGGTGCGCGTGTGCACATGTATGCAGAAGTCAGAGGAAAGCTTCTCAGGAGCCAGTTTTCTCCTTCTATGGTAAAATCCAGGGATCCTACTCCAGTTGCCAGGTTTGCTTGGTAAATAAATGCCTTTACCCACTGAGCTGTCTCACTGCCTCTGGCTTTTAAATCTTTCCACTTTTAAATTGGGTTTGCTTTCCAGTCTGGAGGCTCCTTAAAAAATTTAAAGTAAAATGTCTCTATAATCCAATCTTGGGTATTCATCCAAAAGAATTGAAGGTAGGACCTCAAAATAATGTTAGCACTCCCAGGTTCAGCATTATTCAGAGCAGCCAAAACACAGGAAGTAACCCATACCTATCAGCAAATGAAGGCTTAAAAAGAGAGTGTATATACATATGATGGAATATCATTCGGCCTTACCAAGGAAGGGACTTCTACCATCTGTGTCAGTCATAGATAAACCTGGAGTGAAATAATCCAGTCACAGGAAAATACACACTGGATGATTCCACTTGCAAAAGACATATAAACTAGTTGAGCCAACCAGGTCAAAGATTACAACTGGTTGCTAAGAACTAGGGACAGACATTAACCAACAGGTCTAAGATTTCAGGCACGCAAGAAGAATGGGTGCTGGTCCATCCTGCACAGCCTGCCGGTGATGATGCTGAGTCACGCACCTAAATATGCAATGAAGATAGATTCCATGTTAGGCTCTTGTATTAAACACTTGAAGAGCCTGGCTGGAGAGATGGCTCAGAGGTTAAGAGCACTGGCTGCTCTTCCAGAGGACCTGGCTTCCATTCCTGGCACCCAGATGGTGGCTCACAGCCATTCATAACTCCAGTTCTGGAGGATGCAACATCCTCTTCTGCCTCTGTAGGCACCAGGCATGCACATGGTACATAGACAGACATAGCTGTAGGCAACACACACACATACACACACACAATTAAAAACAACTTTAAAACCTTGAAGAGAGAGAGTTGTCTCATACTGGTGGTTTTAATTACCCCTCCATTCCTTTTATTTTCTTATTGTTTTTTGAGACAGGGCTTCATGTAGCCCAGGCTAGCCTGGAACTACTGTGACTTTGAGCTCCAACTCCCCCTGCTGGCTGCTGGGTTAATCCGCCTCTGTCTCTCTGTCTCTCTGTCTCTCTGTCTCTCTGTCTCTCTGTCTCTGTCTCTCTCTGTCTCTCTCTCTCTCTCTCTGTCTGTCTGTCTCTCTCTCTCTGTCTCTCTCTCTCTCTCTCTCTGTGTCTGTGTGTGTCTGTGTGTCTGTCTCTAGTCCTTTCCCTGTAGACTCATTGTAACTCTGTCCCTCAGCTGGTGGCCTGTTTCCTGGGCATGCTTTTGTATCTACTTGAGATTAAGACACCTCTATAATATGTTAGTCTGTGTGTGCCAGGCGTCCAGGATCCAGAACAAGCAGCACGGGGCCTTTGAGGCTCTATGCTGTTATTTATGTTTCAGCCGCAGAACCTGGCAGTATTATCCATGCGGCACTGGTTTCGTGTTCATGAAAGATGCAAGATTGAGGATATCACAGAGCATTGTGCCAGACAGTGTGCACTAGGGTTTGATTCTCTGGGAAAAGCCGCTGAAAAGTTGCAGTGGAGACCCCAGCATGATCAAGCCATAGGGTGTGACCAGGGAAAGCTGCAGACATTGAATGGAGTTGACCCAAGAGTGAGGCTACCTTGCTGCAGGCAGCAGAAGAGCAAAGGAAGGGCTACCCAAATCTTTTGGAGCCCAGATGATTCTACCATGAGCTGAAGATGCCAGACATGATGCTGCAGAGTTCTGCGTTTGCCCTGCTGGGTTTCAGTCCTGCCTTAATCTGACCACCCTTGCTGTGTTCCGATTCTTCCCTCCTGGAACGGGACTGTTTATCCTGTGCCATCAGACAATGCAAGAACGTAACTTTCATTTGACTGTATAAGATGTTGGCTCTGAATCTTAGGTAAGACTTGGACTTTTAGATAATGTCGGAATTGCTAGGTTGTGAGGACTTCTGAAGTTGGACTGAATGCATTTTGTATTAGGAGACGGCAGCGAGCCCATGGGGAAGGGAAGAATGTTCTGGTTTTAAAGTGATGTGCTTGGTTGTCAAGTTGACAAGGGATAGAGATGTGATGGTTAATATCAGCTGGAAATGACTGAGAATCACCTAGGAGAAAATCCACTGGGCATGCCTGTGAGAACTTGCCATGTTAAGTTAGTTGAGGAGGATAGACTCACCCTAGAAGTGGGCCAGCAGCAGTCAGTGGACTGAGGTCCAGGACTGAATAAGGAGAAAAGCAAGCAGGGCTGGAGAATAACTGTTCTCTCTTCTCTGCTTCCTACTGCAGATACAATGTGACCAGCTGCCTCCTCGGCTCCTGCTGCCCCAATACCCTCAAACTGTGAGCCAAGCGAGCCCCTCCCCCTCTCGTTGCTTTTGCCAAGTGCTTTATCACAGCAGCGAGAAGAGAAACTAGGACACGCTGCTCATGGCCATCACCTCACTTCTGAGGATTTCTTTTTTTAACTTTTTACTGATTTGTTGTGAGTTTCACATTATGCAGCCCAGTCCTGCTTATCTTCTCAAATTCTCATATCCACCCTTTGCCCCTGCAACCTTTTCCTACAAATAAAATACACACACACACACCACCAACAACAACAACAAAGCATAGAAAACATCTCATCATGGAAGCTGTAGTGTGTCACAGTGTGTCCCACAGCATACCCCTCTGTCCACACATCTTCATTTGCAAACGTTCGTTGCAATGAGTCATTGGTCTGGTTTGAGATCTCTGGGTTCTGTGACACTATCAGTGTCGGATCCTCATCAGGGCTCCCCCTGGTTATCCTGTTGTTGCCCTGTGTCATGGAGATCCTGCAGCTTTGGATCAGCAGGACTGGTCCTTTCACACATCTCAACCATTTGCAGATGGTACATATTTTAGGGTGGGCCAACTCAGAGCCCTGGAGCTGGATCTGGGTGGTAACTGAGCTAGTCAGCCTGCCAGCTCTCCCTTATCTGCACCTCCAGGGTGAGCTCTCTAGTACTGCTCTGACTAGGCGATCTGTGGTAGTTTGAATATGCTTGGCCCAGGGAACAACACTATTAGAGGTGTGGTTTTGTTGGAGTGGGTGTAGCCTTGTTGGAGGAAATGTAACACAGTCAGTCTGGGCTTTGAGACCCTCCTCCTGACTGCCTGGAAGCCAGTCTTCTCCTGGCTGCCTTTGGATCAAGATAAAGAACTCTCAGCCCCTTTTCTACCACCGTGTCTGCCTGCACACTGCCATGCTTCCTGCCATGATGATAATGGACTGAACCTCTGAACCTGTAAGCCAGCCCAAATTAAATGTTGTCCTTTATAAGGGTTGCCTTGGTCATGGTGTCTCTTCACAGCAATGGAAACCCTAACTAAGACACCATCCAATGCCACCATTAGCAGAAGGCAGGGTCAGCTCTCCTGCACCTGTGCTTCCAGAGCCAGCTCCATGGTGCTGCCCAGTCAAGGTATTGGCTCCACTCTCCCAAGTGCAGCAGCCTGTGAGGGGCTGGGCCAGCTCTCCTGCTCTCACACCTTGGGTCTGGCTCACCCCTCCACCAGGGCCAGCTCTCCTGTGCTGCCCAGATGAGGTTCGGGGCCTCTCTCCTGAGTATTACAACCATTGAGGGGTCAGGGCTAGCTTTCCCACTGTCCTGACCCCTGGACCAGCTCTCCTGGCTACTCCAGGTGGCAAGGGAGGGGTAGCAAAGGCATCATCCTTGCAACCATGCCACCTTCATGCCAGACAAGTGGCAGGCCAGTTCAACCAGGATCAGCCCTACTGTGCCCAGGTGAGGTGCAGAGCCTGCTCTCCCAAGTGCTGCAGCTGGTAAGGGGCAGGACCCGTTCACCTGATCTCATGATCCTGCCAGCTGGTGCAAATGCTTGCAGTTAGTGAGGGGCAAAGTGCGGCAGGAGGAGGCATCTACCTGTACCCAGGCCACCTTATGACATACCAGTAGCAGGGCCAGCTTGCCCACGCTCTCACCCTCAGAGCTGGTTCACCTGTACCCCTACCACTAGGGCCAGCTCTTCTGTGCGGTCCAGGTAACAACAGGGCTTACTCTCCTGAATATTCCAGCTAGAAAGGGACAGGTCTAGCTCTCCCAAGCTTATGACCCTGTGGGTAGCTTTCCCGACTGCTGGAGGTGGCAAGGGGCAGCTGGTGGGGTGTGGGGTGGGGGGAGGAATCCTCTGTGCCTGTACCATCACATGGCATACCAGTCGCAGGACTGGTTCTTCCGTACTCACATCCTTGGGCTGGTTCACCCACTCCCCTGCCACCAGGGCCAGCTCCACTGTGCTGCCTGGGCAAGACACAGGGCCCACTCTCCAGAGTGCTGCCACTGTTGAGCAATAGGGCCAGCTCTCCAGAGCACCATATCCAGTGAGAGGTGGGGCCAGGTATCACAGCCCCTGGGCATCCATGTGTCCCAACCAGGGAAGTCACTATGTTCTCTAGTGGTAATGTGAGGCACAAACATTGACCCCTGTCCCTGCGTAGCCAGGGACCCAGACGTGGCCCTCAGCAGCAGCTCAGACTGGGACCTCACCATGGCCTCAGGTGGCAGGGCTGAGCACTCACAACAGGCTACTCCTCTCCACCCTGAGTCTCTAGTTCCATCTCTCTTCGCAATGCTCAAGATGCTCCACCTCTCTCCCATCTGACCACCACACACTCACACATAGTGGTGGCTCCTGCTGCAGGCAGGCCATGTGCCTGCCAGGCTCCTGGGTGACATCTTTCATCTATGCTGTATAGTGTGGTGGTGAGCAAGTGTCTATGGGCTGGAGGGCAGGCTTGTGGGTGGCACGGCAGTCAGCAGGTCTCTGTCTTCCTCCTCCCGAGCTGCCTGCCTAGATTTGATTTAATTTTTATGAATCTTAGACATTAGATAGCTTTGGCCACCAAACTAGACATCAAGCTAGGATGAACAAAGGACTGCCATCTACTCTGCCCCTGACTGATATAAGAACACCATTACCAACAGGGTGTCCCTTTGCCCATTGCCAGGGAGGTCTGAGTGTTTTTTAAAAGCACTTTTTATTAAAGCATAACACTTAGGCAGTGAGATAGGTAAAGTATATGGCTTTACTTTACATCCGATGAATTTTTATAAGGTGGAGGCCCCCTTTATTCTGAATTTATTTACCTTGTTTATTTAGCTTTTAAATACAATACATGTTTAGGGAGGCCTTGTCTTTTCAACAATACTGGAGATTGAACCTAGGGCCTTGCACAGGCTAAACAAAAGCTTTACCACTGAGCGATACCCCTAAATATTTTACCTTATTTTAAAAATTTCAGATTTTTCAGATTAAGTCATTGTTGAATAAATCTGATTTTTTTTTATTTTTTAAAAGTAAATGTGACTCATTGAATGATTGTCTGTATCCCATGTGTGTGTCTAGTGCCTAAGGAGGCTGAAGAAGGAGGCTGACCCCTGGACATGGGATTGCAACAGTTGTGAGTCTCCATGTGAGAGCTGGGAACTGAGTCAGTGCTCTCTCTAAGATCAGCCAGTGCTCTTAACCACTGAGCCATCTCTCCAGCTCTTAGATATTAATATTATTGTATTTTTTTGGACCCTGGCAATCAAACCAGGGCTTCACAAATGCTTTACTCTCTTATTATTTAAACAGTGGTTTGCAATCTGTAAGCCTACCTCCTTACAAGGTAGAATGCTCTTTGAGGCTGGTCTGTTTTGTAGCATATTTGCTTTTTATAGGTGTCTTCATGATGACATTACTGAGTCACCACTTGGCAGGTAGGTTGGGTAGGAATTAACAAGTGAGTCACAGTCTGCTCCAGCCTGCATAGAGAGAACAAAAGTCAGAATGTAACACTGTCTGGATTCAAATTGGCTACCTTTCAATTTTCTTTTCCTTTAAAAAAATATTTATTTATTTACTTATTTTTAAAATGAGAACTCTACACGTAAACCTACAGACCAGAAGAGAGCAACAGGTCCCTTTATAGATGGTTGTGAGTCAACATGTGGTTGCTGAGAATTGGACTTACGACCTTTGGAAGAATAGTCAGTGCTCTTAACCATTGAGCCATCTTACCAGCCCCAACTTTCTTTTCTAACCCTGAATTTGTCTTGTGAAGTTAGACACTGTTGGGAGCTGCAGTACCAGAGCCATAAACAATAGGGTGCCACATCATAGCCAGCTATAGACCTAGTTAATGTATCCACCTGCCACATGGACTTTTCTAGAAAATACACGAGAAAACACTACTGAGCAGTTCATAGAGGGAAAGTTTTGTGTCCTGTTCCCTTTTGTATCCTGCTCCACTGTGACATTTTATGTAAGGGACAACTTGGTGTGGGTTAAGGCATCAACCAAAAAGCTCGAAGGCAGTGTCTGAAGAAAACTTAGGAAGCTGAGCCAGTTGCTGGCCCAGTATAGCCTCATCTTATGCTGCTCAGATCTGTTCGTACCCTCCCCATAGACTCAGCTCCACCGTTCCATGGGGACCTCTGAGAGAACTAAGGGCCACTGTCTCTTCCTCAGGCAAGCTGTACCATCAGTTTATTCAGTGACAAAGGCCATTCAGTCCTGTTGGCGGCCAACTACCTGGAAGAAGAGAGGAAGAGGTTTGAGAAAGAAGCATTTCCACAGTGGTATAGACATTCATTCATTCTCACGGGCTTCCTCTGAACCCACTCTGGAACCAGGTTACTCTCTGTGAGCACTTCAGCTGCTCAGTGACAGGTGCCCTGTCCACGACTAGTCACTGAGCAGTTAGAGAACCCCAGGGAGTGCTCCGGGTTCTAGTAAAGATATTGTTCTTCCACAACAACCAGTACACTAGCCTAACTCCTCACAAGAATTAGGATCAATTGTCTGGCAGAACAGTCACTTCCTTGCTGGTCACAGCCACAAGCTGTAGAAAGTGGCCAGGTGGTAGCTCGGCTCTGACCCAGAAGCAGCTTTATTGTGCCCTCTGGTGTCTCACCTTGGAATTTAAGCCTCTAACTCACCCGAGGGCAAGAATCAGGAGATGTGAAATATAAACCCTGTGTCTTAGCAATGTGTTTGGTCGCTGTGATAAAATATCCTGATAAGAGCAACTGAAGGGAGAAAAGGAAAGGTTTCTTTTGGCTCAGGATCTGGGGGAAATCCTCATGCCAGGCGAGGCATGGCAGCAGGGGCGAGGCTGCTGGTCACATGGCATCTGTCGCCAGGAAGCAGAGGGAGGTGAACACTGGTACCCAGCCAGCTTCCTCCTTTGTACCCAGTCTGGGGCCCTAGCCCACTGGCTAGTGCTGCCTACGTTTAGGATGGAGCATCCCACTTTAACTTAATCTAGATTACCGCTCATCCACATTGACCCTAGATACCATCGAGTTTATAATCACCATCACCATCACACCCTGAAGGGGCTTCTCTGTGACTCAAGGATGACAGCCTAGATGGGACACTTGGAAGGGAACTGGAGGGGTGGCAAAAGCTCTCTAAGGTGGCACAGAAGGCACATGTCCTTACACATAGGTAAATCACTGTGTTACATTTTGAATCTGAAATATCACTCAGGCCTATTTGAGCATGAACTTGACGACTCCACGGTGGTACCATTTTGGGAAGCCATGGATAACTTTGTAGATGGGACCTGACTAGAGGAAGTAGTTCACTGGAGGAGGGACTTAGACATCTTTATCAGGTCCCCGAGGCTCCTTCCTTTCCCTGCTTGGCTGCCATGCAGTAAGCCATTCTGCTCAGTCACACTCTCCCCACAGCATGGACCAGCACCCCTGACCGTTAGCTGAAATGGACCCTCCCTCGTCAAGGTTTTATGCCAGGAGGTTGGTTATGGTGATGTAGAAATGACTAAAGCAGAACCTGGTGTTAGAGAAGTTGGGGGGGGGCTCACGTGGCTAACCTGAGCTTGTGGTACTTAGGCCTACGGTGCTGGCTTGGAGGAGGAATTTGGAAAAGTTTAGGGACGCTAAAGGGAGCTGAGAATTAGGTAAGCAGAGCTTAATGAACAGCTGTGGGAACTTGGAACACCAAAGCATTCATAAAAACGTGGGCAATGATGGCCAAGCAAATGAGCTTTAAATGGCAACAAGAATTCTTCTGGAAATAGGACCCGAGGAGATTCATGTTTCATTCTTGCAACTAATTTATCTCATAGCATGCCCTGAAACTTTGAGTAAGGCTAAAGGGACTAGTTAATTTGATGGAGGAAAATGTCATCAGGATAACGTTCAGGCCGTGGCATGGACATTGTCAGCTGCTTTTAGCCAAGCTTACAGTGAGAATCAGAATCAGAAAGCAGAATGGAAAGGCTGGAAACACATTCAGTTTATCCAGAAAAGGGGCACGTTTGACATTGTAGACAAGGAACGTTTGCTTGTTTAGGAGAAGAAAAGAAAGTAAGCATTTTGCACTGGAACAATCAGAAAGATGCCTTCAGAGAATCTCAACAGTTGGCCAGACCCAACCTATGGCAGAGTCAAGAGAATCAAGGTTTTAGTTTGTTTGCTTTGAGAGATGCAGAACATACTGCATACAGTCACAAAGGTATGTTCCTATGTTAATCAAACCTAGGCCGCTGGGGGCTGCGGTAGTCCACAGGGACCTGCTTGAGTCTATGTCATCCATCCTGGTTATGTAGGCATGTAGAATGCAAGATTTATAGGGTCATGGATCACACCAGAACCTCAAGGGAAGGCACAGGAGGCTAGTCAGGACATGGCAGGATCGTGTTTCCTGAAAGCATCCCTGAGACAGCACCTCATGAAGCTGTGAGCGTGAAGCCTGAGCTGCTGTGGAGACTCTAAGATGTGGAAGCCAAAGCTGCAGCCAGTGAAGAGAGGCTTGTGGGGCTTTCCAAGCTTGACGGTGCTTACATAAGCCACCAAAAACCCTGGACTTGATGTGGATTTATGCCATGCAATGTTTGCCCTGCTGGGTTTTGGTCTTGCCTTGGTCTCAGTCCTGTTTTTGACACCTTGATCTCTCTCTATGCAATGGTAATGCTTTCTCTGCACAGGTTATCATGGGAGTATGTGACTTCCTTTTTCATTTTACAGAGCATCACAGCTCAGAGGAGACTTTGAACTTAGATTTTTGGCTTAGACTGTGGGACAGTTGGAGAGGGATTAAATGTATTTTGCCTTATGAGATGATCACGAGTCCTTAGGAACCGGGGTGGAATATTAGGGTTTAAATACAAAACGTTCCTCATACTCGTGTTTGAATGCTTGTTCCTCAGCCTGTAATACTCTTCTGGGGTCATGTTTACCAGAAGGAAGTAGGTCATTAGAGGCATGCCTCAAAGGATCCCTAGGTCCCTAGATCCCTGTTCTTTCTCTGACTTCTGGCCACCATCATGTGATGATGGCCACCATGCTCTGCTCTCTGATGTCCTCTGATAGACTGACAGTTCCAAAACAATGAATGACTTAAAATTTTCTTCTGTCAGATTTATCCTGGTTATTCAGTCAAACCACAAGGGAAGCAAGTAATATATGAACATCAGGTGGTCTTTGTGGCATAGAAAATGCCACATTAGCAGTTACAGACTCTGACAGCTGCTATCCTGGCAAGGTCACTGCTGAGGGTTGTTTGGCTGAGAGTCAACGAAGGGTACATAGTAGGTGATGGCCACAAGTCAGCCAAGGGTGCATAGTAGATGATGGCCACAAGTCAGCCAAGGGTGCATAGTAGGTGATGGCCACAAGTCAGCCAAGGGTGCATAGTAGGTGATGGCCACAAGTCAGCCAAGGGTGCATAGTAGGTGATGGCCATTGTAACCTGACACGCAGTTCTGTCACCTGTTTTTTGTCCCTGTTTGCTCTGAATGTATCGGATAGTAAACAAAAGCCTCAACCCAAATTCCTGGTAAGAGGTGCAAAGCTCTGGTTTGGTGAGTGTTGACTGATGAGACTGGACACCCCTACCATGGCCTGCCTGTGGGACAGAGCCCGCTGGAGCTGCCCAGGGCTGGTAAGAATGACAGCCTTGGGCTGTTTGATATCTCCAGGAACTGCAGTGGAGGGTGGGGA